GAGAGAGAGAGAGAGAGAGAGGTGCCGCGTGCACTCGACAATAGTGAGATTGGTGTTTTCCCTGCATTATACAGGCACCCATGGTTTGCACACTTCTTGGGCAAGTTTTTATAGACCAGAAAGTGGCATCCACCATAGAGCATGCTTTCGGGAAGATGTGTGTCAAACTCAGTAACCCGGCGGCCACAGTCAAATAACAGTTAGTTAAGGTCGCAGGCCGAATCGGATGAACATTCATTGAGCAGTGGAAAACTAAACTTTCTTAAGCAATGATATTAATTAAAACAGACGAGCGTTAAAATAATAACAAATTATCAAAGCATAGCAATTTTAACTCTTATGCCAGTTTGTCAGAGACGGATGTAAAATCTAAAAAGACTCGATTTTGTATACAGTAATTGCGTAGTACTTAAAAAAAAAATTGATTGGAAGTAGATTTCCGCTTCGATTTGACGCATTGAGTCTTGTTTGATGGTAAACTTCATGTAAAAGTACTAAAAAGAACAACAACTAATTTAAAGATAATGTTTATTTCCAGTGCTGGTCTGATCAGCGACTCGAGTGGATGCCTTCTAACTGGAGCTCAATCAGACAAATATTTTATACTAATGAGATATGGAGACCTGCTCTCGTGGTTAGTAACAGGTAGGATTACAACCAGTGGACTCACCCTGACCCCCACCCCCTCTCCTCCCCCACCCCATTTCCCCTGTCTCAAACTATATGAGCCTGAAGAAACTGCTGATCACTTACAATGGTTATTATGAAAGGTACAGGGAGGGGATGGGAGGGAGAAGGAAAAACGAAATCTAGAGAACGACCAAATAACATTGTAACATTAAGTCATGGATGAATTAACGATAGCTGTCACTCTAGGCGTGAAAGGGCAAACCTGCACCACCAGACCAGGGATATGAAATTGAGATAATAAACAAATACCGGGGGGAAAACAATACGTTAGAAAGGACTTTTATAAATAAATAATTATTTGCAGCCCAAAGGAGCAAAAAAAAAGACATAGAGTGATTATTCAAATCAATAAGTCAATTAATCTTTCACATTTGCGACGCTGAATCACCATATATAGAATTGCCTGGCTCTCTTTGGTCGATTGCACAACAAGAAAGTAAAACATATCTAAGATATGTCATTTCCACAAATTTCAGTCTCTTTCGGAAACAATGTCTTTGTTGTAATACCTTTTTGTCTTTACACACTTAAGGTGTGAGTTGAATTTTAGAGCAGAAAGATCTGTTTTATCGAGTATATTCATTTATTTTTGCAAGGTTTCTGTATCCTAATTAGTCTGGGTTGACACAGACCGGCAGAGTTGAAACAGAACGCCTCAGAAATGATCTGATTTATGTCGATGGGGGTATTGATAATAAATTTCAAAATATAATCTCCTTTTTTAGAAAGTCTAGACCAAGGGTATCAAGCTCAGTCACTCAAGGGAGCAGAGCCAAATTATGCTGAAGGTTGAGGACCGAACACATCCATTGAGCAGTGGAAGACTAAACCTTTTTTAAAACTATGATATGGATTAAAACAGACAATTGTTAAAATAGTTTTAAAAAAAATTAAGTTGAATGTTTAGAATCTTTTTTTGTCCACATATTCGTTTATGTATGGAGCAGAGTTCTGTGTGTTAAAGATTCTTTAAAAAAACGAACCACAAAAATTATCTTGCAACCGGATATAATAGTTTAGTGGGCCGAATGCTGCCTGTGGGGCTGTAGTTTGACACCTGCTGTGGTCTAGACGATCGTTCTTTCTGTTAAAAGTGTTTGATCTGTTCCCGACAGCATCGATGACCTGGGAGCGATCGACGAGGACACAATTCCCAAGCGAGTGACGTACACGGGCACTGTGGAGTGGCATCCTCCGGGCATACTTGTTGTTTCATGTGACATGGACATCACCTACTTCCCATTTGACAGACAGATTTGTTCCATCGAAGTACGTATTTTAAAGGTGCCAACGCTGTTTCTATACTGTCTTCAATAGCATTTTCTCTTTATCAGTCTCCAATTCAAAATGTTTTTTACTTTCAAACAAATGTGTATTTCCCCATGAAAAGGACTAATATGCCGGAAATTTTCAAATTCAAAATTCAATTAAAAGTAGTTTCAGATGGTATTTTTTCATTCTGAATAATATTAATTTTTTTAACCAATAAGAATTGAGATATCTTGAATATTTTTTTTAAGATATTGCAGGTTTTAGTAAGAAAGGTAGGAACATGGCTTAAGAGAAAAAGAACGTCAAAGTAAAATGACTTTATTTTACAGAACAATAAAAATTAGCTTTCTTAGGCTACTCATTTGAATTATTTGGTAATATAATAAACGTCAATATATAAAAAAAGAACTACATTTTATATATCGTTTTATTTTTCTGTACCTGTAATTAACTCCAGAAAGGAAGCTCGGGAAAGCTTTATGCATCACCGCTGGGAACATGATGTTGAAAAGTGTTGGTGTTAACACACAGCTATTTGTCACGCAAAAAGCTTCAGACATATTACCACTCACAGCTCTTGACACTGCGTTTCATGCCGTCATGAAATTGGCGAACCGTAGAGTGAAATTTTGCAAGCAAACGTACTTCGCTAGGATTTTCCATGAGCCTCCCTGACCAACGTTATCGAAGGCCTTTGTTAGATCAACGAAGGCCATATATAAGGTTTTATTCGGCTCTATGAACTTTTTCTGGATCGGTCTAACTGCAAATATCATGTATACTATGCCCCTTTCAGAGCGGAAGCCACATTCTAGGACATATGCTTCAACAGGCGATAGAGAAGAGTTCGGGCCAGGATCTTTCCAGCTATAGACAAGGGGGATATGCCTCTGTAGTTGTCCCAAGATTGCCTGTCAACTTTGTTTTTGTACGAATGAATTATAGTTGCATCCCTGTGCCCGTTGGGCAATGCTTCCAAATTCACACATTTGACAGAATAGTTCTGTCAGTGCCACAAATTCATATACCTTCCAAAATCTGTGATAAATTCTTTTATATGGTGCGACATGTATTATTGTCAGTTTCTCTTCCTAATGAAATTCTCTTAAGGAAGTAGTATACAATTTAAATTATATCATGTATATCTGAGTGTGATTTTACCGATCCTGCAAAGCCATATAAAGTATTATCTCATCGTCCTTCTGTATCTGCCCAGTTGACGAGCTTCGGTTACACAGTCCTTGAGGTAAACCCGTTAAGTTCCCGTGGATTGCTCACGGATTACTTCCAGAAAAGCGGGGGCTGGAGTCTGGGCCAGCTCAGCACGACCACGTCCACATACGAGGACAACGGTCAGGAGTACGGAAAGGTAGGAAGGGGAGTACTAGTACTAGTTATTATTTATGTTTTACTGGGACAAGAACCAGCGAGCTGTGATTCTCGTGATGCATGGAGTGAAGGGTGGGGGTGGGTGGGGGTGGCATGACCGCTAGTTCAAACTGCTTGACCGTGTGTGCAGTGCATTGAAGCTTTTTGGGCTATCCAGCATGTAAGTGTTTGTTTTTTTAAATCACCATATCAACAACACGTCACGCTTTAGAACGCTTGCTCTTTATCTCTAATCCAATATCATTCTGACCTATTTCCTGTATTATAGTTGAGGATAAAACACTGGCTAGATAAATTCAGGTTATCAAAACTAATCCCGAGCATTTCTGTTGTGATTGTTGTTGTTGTTGTTTAATACTTTTGACCGATTTTAAAACACGATATCGAAACTTCCATCTTAAATGAAAGCATGAACCCATTCCACATTGGTTTTTGCCTCTCAGATTACCTTTGAGGTTATCGTGTTCCGACGGTCTGATTTCTATTGGCTCAATGTCGTCTTCCCTGTGATTGTCAACGGCATTCTGACGATCTTCCTCTTCCTACTGCCCGCTGAGAGCGGAGAGAGGATTGGCTACTCTCTCACGGTGTTACTGGCATTCGTTGTCCTGATGACCTTACTGGCGGCGGACATGCCAACCTCGGCCAAACACACGTCTTTGATGGGTGAGAGTCACGCTATTATAATGAGGCAATTGCATGAACCTTTTCAGTACCAAGCGTTTTGCATTCCCGTAAGCAGTAAGCTTAGAGTAAAGACGTTGGCTTTTTGAGTCAGCCAGTACGCAAGGTTTTTCTTTCTAAAGCTATGATGAGCTAGCTGAACTTGCTTTCTTCATAAACTGGTTTTGACAACGAAAGGGTTCTTCGTGAAGTTTGTTTTACGTACAGTGTGTTTACTCTTTACAAAAATAGTCGAACCGAACAAACGAAACTATTTTGTACAAACGACTAAAGTACAGTGGAGCACAACCGTAGACTTGAGCATTATAAACTCTACCAGATCGTGAACTCTGACGTATATCCAGTTCTCTATGGTGTGTATTATTTGACCCAGTTTCAGCCAAATGAAAGTCACAGAGGGAAAGGTGTCGCGCTCACTCGACTATAGAGAGACTGGTGGTTTATCCCTCATTAGGGTGTGATGTCACGGGCCATGTTGCGCACGCTTCGCAGCAAAGTTTTTATAAAACGTTAAGGGCTGTGGCCACGACATTTTCGCACAGCACTCGCTCCAAAAGGAGTTTTACTTTTTCATTCCCATGTGGGGATTTTGCTTTGTCGCGTATCTGCGTCTGTCTGCTGGGCCACATCCCTCGGCTCAGATTGGTCCTAAAGCAAGGTCAAAGAAGCCCTATATAGGAAGAGATAGGAACAGGTATATCATCAGAGTGTCCTGAGTATGATAGAATATAAAACGGCTACTGACGACCATGAGCACTTGTGTGTCATTACACGTCAACCTCGAACACCTTCAGGTATTTAGGTATATTGCCATGTATAAGTGGGAAAGAAGGCTCATCGTGCATGGACTGGGAGCGATAGGGGCGGTAGCCTGAAAAAGTTCAGGAACCACTGGCCCAGAGGCATGAACTTGGTACGGGTAGGGTGTGTATTTTTGGGGGTGCGGGGAGGTGAGTCAAGTGTCTATTTTTCTGATTTAGAATGAGGGAAAATGTAATATATTACTCACTCCCCCTTCCTTGCATTTTTGTTCCACTTCCCTCACCCTGTCCTTTTCTCTCTTTCTACCCCTGCTGCAGACCCTGTTGGGCTTCTGAGGTGCGAACATTTCTTCTGTTTCTCTTTACTAGTGGCATTGCTGAACATGGTTTGGAATAAGTCTACTAGATGTGACTAAATTCTATGGATTAATTTGGTTCACATGAACCTTTGAATCATACAAACAGCTTACTTGGCACGCGGTTAAAAGTACCAAGACTGTTTCCTATGATTAAAAAGATAATTATGAAATCAGGAAAAAAAAACAACCTAAAAAAAGTTTTTAAAAAAACTAACTGTTTCTGTACATGGTGGACAGAAGTGGTCTCTAATACACCCAAAACGTACACTACCTGGTACTCATGAAGCAATACAAGAAACTCGATACTACCAGAAAACCGGTGCAAATGTCCGATTCTTCTACGGTTTCTCTCCCCTCCAGAGGTGTACATCTGTCTGATCCTGGGACTGAGCGCCTTGTCCGTGGTCCTGGCCATCATCAACCTGAGAATCCACCACAGGACAGACAACAAACCCATCCCCCCGTTCACCTTCGCCCTCACAAGACTCTGTATGAAGTTGTGCTGTTACAGCGAGGAGCACATTCCCGGGACCTCGAGTATTGTGCATCCAGACAAGAAATTGACAATGGAGCAGATGTTTAGAAAAGATGTGAGAAAATTACAATTAGTTATGTTAGAGAGGTCTGTCTTACTCACTGCTATGATGTGCCGGTGTTTTTAAGGCATCACCTTGAGATATCTTTTTGTTTTCAATGTCTGCTATATTATTTACCCCCCCCCCCCTTCCCCTAAAAGAAAAAAAAAACCCGAAACGAAACAAACAAACAAACAAAAAACCCTGGCCTCTTACCTAAACAACAAAGGGAAGCAATTCTGATCGTAGGATTGCACTATACATTCGGTGTTTGGATTTGAGCTTATTGCCCTTTCACATTTTGGTTGATTGCAGTAACGCTTAAGTTCGATTTGTTTATTCATTAATGAAAAAGAGTAAAAAAAAAGATCTCCCTGATTTTTTTTATTCACCTAAATATGTGAGATAGTGTTCTCATACGTGGGAAGGAAGGAAAGTGCGCTCAGAACAAACTATAGGTGTACCGTACTGTGAATAAAGAACACACTTCAATATAATCGTTAAAATACGTGGCGACGGCACTTCTCTATGCACATTTAAATTACCAGCTTCATTCAAAGGTAGCAGATCCTTTCCAACAACTACATAATTCACGCGATGAATTGGACTGGGTCGATTTCTGGGCGGTATTGATGCAAATGCCCAAACTATTGAGCTCGTAGACTCACTGTAAGGCTCACAAATTAAGACTGATAGGCACCTTGGGACCTAGTTTTTGGTGAAAAGTTTGTCTCCGGATGGGAAGCGTCCCTTCACATTATGCAATACGGCTTCAGCACGCATACATTTGTTACATTGCATAAGGCGCATACCCATTTGTCAATATCTGATTAAAACCCCCAAAACAAACCAAAAAGATCTTTCAACAAAATTGGCCAACAAAATTTCAAGCTAAATGAGAGCTGCTGCAAGAGAATGACGTCCCAAAATCATTCTGATTTCTAAATGGCAATTTTGAATATAATAAAATTCCTGGAGCCGTACGAAACAATTTAAGTGCTTGTCCACTATACATTAAATCAGTATCCTGAAAACTGTATAGCTTGTCTATTTGTTGTCTCGTCATTCGGGTCCACAGAACATAAAATAAGACAGTGGTAGTCTGTTGTACATTTAGTTTTTGCGCCAGCGTCATGAACACTTTATATATAGCCTATCAATTTATTGTCTCTTTCTCCCCAATCACCACAGCAAAATTGCACCGTTTTCCACGTGAACTCAGCCGAAGTTACGGAGAAATGTGACCGAGCGATGACACCAGTGCCCGGGGAGGACTGTCAGTCAAAGGACGGCGTGGACCTCAGCTGGAGAGATGTGGCTTTTGTCATGGATGATGTCTGCCTCAGAGTCTACGCTGTAGCCGTGGTTGTATCCACTCTCGTGTTTATGCTAGCTTTAAATAGTGGTCCAAACTAGACTATCTATCTATCTATTTTTGAGACAGTACTTCTGTATGTCCGTATGTCTGTCTGGTTGGCTCGTTGACTATAAGAGAAAGAGAATAAAGACAATTCATTGGTAAGCAAAAAGACTTCAATATATAATCATAATACATGTCTCCACTCAGTCGGCCGTATTCTAAAGATGAAGTATGCAATAATGAGAACAGGATTAGAGATTGTTCTATAAACATGCAATTTCGTTATTCAATAAAACCGTCTTTCGCTCATGGCGCAACGGCCACCTCCATCTTGGCCGCTTAGTCTAAAGTATGTCTCCTCATGCTCAGCGCGACGTTGCGTCGTGCTTGGCAGTCGCTAGCGATTTCTTCTTCTTCTTCAGCCTTGTTCTCGATGACAGCAGCAAGAAAGTCAGTCTGAAGGCGTGCACTAACTGTGCAGTCTGTTTCAAAACTGAGAGACTGCCATATAGCTTTCTCGTAAAAGGAGTCACATTCTGCCGTGTCTGTGTACTAAGAATGGCGTAGTGCGGGCAGTGCTGAAGGATATGATTGGCATCCTCTTGGTCGTGTCCACATTCGCAGATCGCGGACCCTCCCACTTTTAATTTAGTGTGCATATGGTGTTTGAGTCTGTTGTGGCCACAACGGAGTCGAAAGATTGTGACCCGGTCGACTCTATTAGCATGTTGTTGGGGTCACGTATGTTGTGATTAGAGGGGGATCTTTTCCATCTGTTTCTTATGGCAGATTTTTAACGCTTTTTTGACTCTGGGAGATCCATGCAATCCTCAATCTGGGTCATTTTGGCTCCTTCTTTGGCTAACTCGTCTGCTTTTTCATTTCCAGGAATGTCACAGTGACCTGGTATCCACTGCAGAGTTGTGTTGGCCTGGGAGTTTAGATCATATAGGAAGGAAAGGAGCAGTCATACTTGAGCAGATTGTGGCTTTTAGGGAGCTTGCAGGGCAGATTTTTTCATCTGGGAGGATGACAGTGTTGGCTTTAGATTTTGGTGATTCAAGAGCATGTTGGCTGCAGTTTCGAGTGCTGATGTTTCTGCTTTATAGTTGGAAGATAGAGATCCTTTGGGGATGGAATGGCTCTCTGTTGACCCATCTATCCACTGTATGTAGATGCTTCCACCGCCGTTTCTGACTGCTTCAGTTGCTAATCCATCTGTATAAACTCGATTCTACCGGTTGCTTCGGAAATTTCTGTTCCGGTAGTCGAGTGTCAGTGACTTGAGTATCGGAGGAGGGACTTCAGATTTGGTGCTCGCTCTTTTATGTTCTCTTGAATTTGAGGGGATGATTAGTCTGAAGAGGGTGGACTTGACATGGGTCTAGTAATGTTGGAGAATCTTAAAGAGAAATTTGAAGTCCAGAGCTGAAGTGTCTGGCCATATGGAGGAAGCTTGTTATTTTTAAACTTTTGCTCAGGCTTTTTGAAGATCTGTCCTTCGTTTGGTGGATTGGCATTCTTTTGATCTTTTCCTGATGAACAATCGCTTTCAGATCGCGACGCTAGCGATGAGTCACGAGGTGTGTATCCTTAACCTATGCGCGGTCTCATCACTCACCACATACACGGTGTGTTGACTGACACTGGTATTTTGACCAATTGGGATGCTTTAAACCTGTCACACCCCCAGACTATCGAGCACAAAGTGTTCTCGATCGCTACATGGACTGAACGCAGGCGACACCCTCCCATGACTAGACGTCGCGTCGCGTGTAAGGAGACGTTCTCTTTATAATCTTACTTGATTGGATATGGAGTGCAAGGACCGTGCGCGACATCGCGCATGAGTAGACATACTCATAGTGAGTGCTAACCCTGCATATATGTAATAGGTCAAGTAAGTTCAGAATGGAGACCCACAAGTAGATTGTCTTCCATTCGTTGACGTCGTGGCTGAGATAAAAACATCAATATTTATAGGAAACGCTTTACTTTGGAATCTACCATAAGTATCATATATTTCTTTCAGGAGTTTTTCAGCTTTAGCCCTTATGCTTGTAAGTAAGAAAAAAGAAACTCATTTTACGTTACCTATAGAAAGTATTGGTCGTGGAATATTATATTGTAATTAAATTTGAAAAGTGTCACCTTAAGAGAAGAGGAGCACATGGATAATAAAAACTGGAGAAAAGCTGGCACGAAACAGGCTCACAAGACGTCTCACTCACGATAAAGAAATGTTCTTCAAATCTAGCTGACTAGGACTATTTCCTGCCCCCCCCGAATTTAAGACTTTTTTGACAAGGCAGAATACTGACTAGACGAGTTTATTTTGTAGAAAATATTTGTTTCAGACATTAAGACAACAAAGTGACTGAGTGTTCAAAGTGGAAAGGTGTACAGCACACTTTTTTCACCACCGGAACGCACAAAGAACCAATTTCTAGCAAGGTGAAATTCTCAGATGACAAATGAGTTTACAATGCAAATGACTTCTAAAATAAATGTTAACGGCTGCATCTGAAAGGGCAAAAACGCACACCGTATCATTTATATTTTCTACGATGCATTTATTTCCTTGCGATAAAACTAGATCAAACGAAAAAATAAAAACAAATAGTGTTATTGTACGAAAATGTAAGTGTGTATGCGTGTGTGCGTACATGCGTACGCGTATGCATGCATGCTTGGGTGAGTGCGGGTGTTCGTGTATGTGTTCGCTCGCGCGCGCGCGCGCGCGTGTGTGTGTGTGTGTGTGTGTGTGTGTGTGTGTGTGTGTGTGTGTGTGTGTTTGTGTGCGTGTGTTTTTATCTTTGTACCGATACGTATCTTTCCTACTGTTGTCAGCTGTCGCGAGCTATTGACCACACAACAAAAAACTAAAACTATCAATTGTAACATAAACATCATGGTTCACCTTGTCCCTCTTTTGAACCTTTGACAATTATAACCAAACGTTTATTGCCTTGTAATGCATCTGCCAATCCCATTCATATGTAAATACCCGACCTTACCGTGTAGAAGTATTGCGCATTAAAGAATTTTATGTTCACGCTTTTAATACATGATTTTTTTATGTTTGTTACCCGGCCATGCCCCCCCCCCCCACAAACCAAACCACCTTTCCGTCACACATTAGCCACCGAGGAGGGGAGGCAAAATTACTCTATGGTTTTACGGCACTTGTAACGCAAACTGTTCATTTAAGTGAGAAGACTAGAGGTGTTCTAGAGAGTAACGTACAAAGAAAAAACAGAAAGAGAGATAAGGATAATAGACGTTTGATAGGCAAGAAAAGGCCCAGAGATATCTACCGCTAGTAACATACGAGAGTTACTAGCATTAATTGTACCTTTTCAATTTTGAGGCTAACATTCAAGACTGCGGTATTTCAGTTGTGATCAAACTGTCTAAGCTTCATCAAACATTGGCCATTCAACGTCTCTGTTTCGTTGAAGTTGGGTTTTTTAACTATATAATAATAATAATAATAATAATAGATAGCATTTGTATAGCGCATATCCCCGCTCAACAGCAGGCTCTATGCGCTTTTACACTATATTATTACCCCAGCAGACCATAGAACACTCCGAAACATTCTCAGCTTCCCGGGAAGCATACAGTGCGAGCAGCCGATTAAGCGCTCAAACACTAACAAACTGACAAGATCTTTCGCTGTCTATAGCTGGGTACCCATTCCCACCTGGGTGAAGTGAGGAAAATTCGTGTAAAGTGCCTTTCCCAAGGACACAACGTCGGGCCCTTGACGGGATTCGAACCCACGACCTTACGGCATGTAATTTATGCCCCCTCCCTCTCCAATCGACACAATGTAGATAATTTAGGAGATGGTTTTCGAACCTGCCTTTCAGGCCCAACCCGGGCTTAGAGGGATAAAACATCTCAGCGGAAAGACCAAAATACTTGACAAAATTTCTTTTCACATGGAAAGCGACTTCGGGTCACCTGGGCCCGGCGGCAAAGCGCCTAATCGCTACACCACAGACGCCGACCACAAGGTTTAGTGAATCCTCTTTGGTGTCAGAATAAGTTAGTATCAGCACCAATATAAATAAGCCAATTTTCTGAAACAGAGAAATCCTTCCGAAAGAATACAGAAAAACCCCACAGACACACTGCATTTACACACAGTCAAATCAAAATTAATTTGAAGGAAGTAAAAGCATCTACGCCATTATCCACGAAAGTGGACATTGTGGCTACTCCCGCTTTGATGACAGATATTTGCTCCTTTTGTGCTAAGGCCCGTGAACCGCAAGAGTGGATGATTTGACAGGGCTTATTTTGGCTTTGTTTTTTCGCCTTGTCATGCTGGCATAAATTGCTTTTGAGGTAGGTACCCGTATCTCCATATCTCTTTTTTAAAGGTGTACGTTACTCTCAATCTTCGGTGGACATTCTCTACTGACAAAGCGCTCAGCATAAAAGTTTGAGTCCATACATACAAGTACAACCTTTCCATATCCGATTGGAAAAGGTTGTAATGCTTTTAACGTGCAACTTCGGTAAAAGGAAAACGTAGGTCAAATCCTCGAGTCTTCCGCAACGACCAACAACTCTCTTTTCGGAACATACACATTGGAACAATGTGATTTTACTTCAACACTGATAGGTTATGCAGCTGTTTTATCCGTCTTTTTCCTCCTGGACAAATTTTCGTGTTTTATTCTCACACTCAGTGACAATTATTATCTTCAACAAGGACAATTAACATAAAAAACCAGTACTTACAAGTCTATTGTCAGATTTATAGCAAATGTCGAAGTAAGCTGAACTCTCTGCCACAGTTATTGAAGCGACAACAATTTGTGTGTTCTGACCAGATCCAGGAACTTTGTTGCTACATAAAGCTCCTCAGACTTTTATGCTGATGCCTCATTACAGTTTTTGGCAGACGACCAGAACACATCAGTGACTTTGCTCTGCTACCGGGTGCTCAGATCATAATCGTGAAAAAGTCCATGATCTGCCCATAAGAAGCTGTAGACAATAATCATTTTTATTTATTTATTTGTATCTACTTATTTTTTTATTGAAAAATTATTATTATTTATTTATTTCTTTTTTTTTTTTGGGGGGGGGGGGGGCAGTCAGTTCGAATACACGTCACTAAACATGAGCATCGGATTGGATGTCCTCGTACAACCCAAACAAAAATGGTCATAACTTACATAGTGACATAAAATTTACGCAAAACTTCGTACATTTTTTAAACAGTTTCCATTTTAGCTATTAATTTGACCTCTTTGTCTTTCTTAAGCTCTTCACAAAAAGAAGTACTGTAGCCCAGATATTTCGAGATATGTAAGCATGATTATTGTAGAATTAAATAAGAGGTAATTAAATTGCCTATCATGTAGAGGGATCTTGTACTGGAATATTTTCTCTCAGATTTTCGTTTTTCCTATGTAATCATCACCTTTCGTGTAAATTGGTTTCTTTCTTTTTTGGAAATATCTCGTTTCTCAGTACCTCTGTACTTCACAAGTCCTGCTCTGTCCAAACATGTCTCTTGTATGAGTTTGAGACAACACTTATACCACATGATGGATTACCAGGGAAAACGTGATTCACACTGATACATGTCGATATTTGTCTAAAATGAGTAGTGGGAAGTTACGTGTGTCATTCAAATTATACTTGCGCACTTTATTAAAGTATTTCCAATCAAATACTGAACGACTTGAGGAGCAAGGCTCTTATTTATTTCAAGTGCAAAATACTGTCACATGTTATCGTATAAAGCCTCATCGTGGAAATATAAGAAACACCTAGATTGGGGGTTCTTGTTTTATCCGTAGATCTACTCCTTTGGTGTTGGTATGTAAAGCTTCGCACAGCACAAAACAAACTGTTTCGAAGACCGAGCTCCTGGAGTCCTGAAGGGATACCAGAATATGGAGGAGTCCGAGATTTAGGTCGAAGAAGGCCGAGAATAGATTGAACATCAATTGGATTTAAACAACAGACTTATCATGGTGTCTCAATTTAAATGTCTAATTAGAATAGTATTATGGAAGAGTATAAGTAAATTTTTTAGGGCGCTCGCAACTGCATCAGGTCATATGAGCGTCAAGGGGTGGATGCCAACAGAGAAGTCCAAAACGGGGAACCAGGCTTACTCTGCTCCCCTCTCTAGCCTCAAAAGCACAAAGTCTGCTTCCACTATCAAGGCGCCCCGGAAATAGCAGTACACAAAAGAGGGACAAACATACAAAAGAAGCAGAGGGGAAAATGACGATAGTAAGGATGGAGAAAGAAAAAGCAGCTGTCCCTACTATGTTGTTCCGGCACAGTATGAGAATGACATTGATAAATCAGCCCATATACAATTCTACTGTGAATAAGAACATGTTTATATCTTCCCTTTGGGAATCGCCTTTAGACACTCCCGTCAGTAGCACCGCCCTGAGGGGGGGGGGGGATTAGAGAGTCAGGGTGGCAGGGTGAAGTTTTTCCTGCGTACATTTGTAGCCATACATGATTCAGAATAAGTTGATTTTAAAAAATATATGGTGACAACAAACCATAGCTAGAGAAAAAACTGTGAGCATGAACATGCAGAATAGATTAATTTCATTTCAATGTGAGGAAAACTTTTGGTGAAAAACATTATACTAAGTTTTCCTTTAATAAAAGCATGGAATGTGGCACGATGCGAGTATAGATTGACACGAACATTTCTGTGCCTTATAGTATTTCTGGAAAACTCGAGTCTTTGTACTGTGCTGCAATTTTGCACATTTAGAACCTGAACAAAATAATAATTTAGTACAGTTAAGAAGCCTTAGACAATATTATATTGTCGCTTTTAAGCACAAGCGGGCTATCCCGAAAAGTGCTGTTTTGAGAAAATCGAAGGTAAAGTTTTTGAACCCAAAAAATCTATCTCTGTGTATTTGTTTTCAAATGAATTCTTCTGTGGTTTAGCATATGAGTTATGACCTTCTCTGCCGTATACGTATAAATAACTGATAATTATTTACTCGATTGATAAGAAATTGGACATAAAGTTGAGTTGGCTCAGTTGTGCAGATATGCAGAAAACGCTTTTGAAGCAAATTTGGAGGCAAAAAGGGCCATCCCATCCAAAATGAGGTATACCTTTCTATCTGGACTATTCCTGCATTGAGGTATATACAAAATGTATGTCCCCTGTACAGTGAGCTAACCCACCAAGCTTGTCAACTCTTTATCATTGGGTTAAGTGGTCTAGCCTATCCGTGTGAGCATTTTAAGCATTTCCTACCAAACAGGTCGGTACTATTATGTGGTACAGTACTCAAGTGAAAGCTGGTACAGTACAGAAAAAACTTTCTGAAAACAACTTACCTGATATGTGAATATCGCAGTATTTGGGGTTTTTCAACAACGACATGCAGTGAACTCTTCACTTGAGGTGTCAGCCATTTTTTGGGTTAGTCCATTTAAAAACTTTCAAAAGTCGGTAGTTTCTTTAATTCTCTATAACTATATAAATATACCTACGGACGAAACCAAGCTTCTCCAATAGGTAGGGCAATGTCCACTTTTAGTGCAGGTCAAGATTTTTGGAAATCCCTGAAATGTGGGTTAGCCCGCTTGTCCTTAAAAGCGACCATATAACCTTCTATTCGCCTTTTGTTGTTCGTCGACTTTTGTGGCATTGCGTATATCAGAACATACAAAAACGATATCATCAGAAATGTTTCATGGGATTCAAGTTTGAGCTTGGCTACGGCATCACACTGATATAATAATATTCTCCTGCA